GGGAGAATGTTTTTGGAGGCTTACTTTTATTTTTTGATGGTTTGTAGTATTTTCAATTCCATAATTCAACAGTCAAAAGAGTGCATTAAAATTCCTGATATTTATAAAGAAGTAAAATTTGAATTATCAGTGAATTGATTGCCTAGACTGTGGATCAACCAGAGCCCATCTGCTGCCACACCACTGGCTGTAGCCCATTGTTTCAGAATACATGACACAAAATAAATACTGCTCTATCAGGTCTGCTGTGCTCACTGCAATTTAACACCATTTAAAGTGAAAGTTCATGTTCTTGCATAACTCGTAAACTGAGATTGTGAGTATAGCACCTATCATGAGACTTTCCATAAAGGTTCCAAAAGTTGACCACTTTTCATACACTCCTAAAACAAGAGATTTCTTTCCTGTTGCCAGCAGTAATGCTCACCTATAACAGCCCACAGAAGCACCCTACTTGCCTTTGGTGGCTAGGGGCTAAACAGTAGGTCCTGGCTTCCAGTAACAGTCCATTTTTTGGCTATGAGGGAATGAATGACAGCAGTAAGACTGAAAACTTTTCTACTTAGAACTAAGGAGCACACATGAAATATGTCTTCTCTAAAATTTGATCAGCAATGGCTTCTGGAAGAAATTCATTGAAAGCTGCTGAACCTGCATGTTGTCTTTGAAATATTTAGCAATTTTGTGTTCACCTGTGATTTTTTTTTCCCTATTAGAAACTAAGGGTTGAGTTCAAACTTAGTTATGCTGAATTTATGGTAGTCTCAAGTGGTATTTCTTATATGATTTTCAATGAGTAACTTGTGAGGAAGAAGATCTAGTTGAATCAGATTCCATTTTCAGCTTGTTTCTCGTAAGGGTATGGTACGTGATTTTTCAGAAAGAGCTGACATACATTCTACGTCCCCAACTAGGCCTTCTGACCAATCCTACTTCTATTTTATTTGGAAATGCAGGATGTATGGGCTTGTTATAGCTCATAAAACCTTCATGAAATAGTATTTTCTTTCTATTTTTAAAGTTGACTTTAAAGGTATTAGTTAAATAAAGGTAAAAATTATTTTTGTTACACTGATGCCTGACTTTCCTTATTTGAGAGGTGCAAAATAGTTTTACTTAACCCCGTGACACATGTAAATGAATGCACACTCTGTGAAGTATAAGTGTTCAGCTTATTTTTGTTTCTTTTTTCATGTTGAAGTATCTAGCTCCCCTAGTTAGGAGCAAATTTAAAGTTGTGCACTTCTGATTCCTTTTGTTCTCAGTTTCTGTTGAAGTCAGCTTGTCAATTGATTCTTCTTTCTCTGTTAATATATATATATATTCAGTAGATTTTTTGATGATGTTCAGCTTTGTAATAACATTGTGAGATGGTCTCCAAAAGCAGCCTGCAGTACTTGTATGCATAGATTTTGAAATGGGCACAAGTCATGCAATCCATTTGAGTTTAGCATCCTGCCAGACTGACATTCTGTGAAGATACAAAAACATGCATGTGATCTTTAGCCATCAGCTGAAACATGGCTTTTGTTAGTCTGACAAATTGTATGCTGCACATGGGGGAATGAGTGAGGAATGTCACTTCATTGTCACATGTAGTTCAAAATAGATACCAACTCCAAAAAGCCTTGGATTAAGAGTTTCTTCCTGTTTCCTCTTCATTTGAGAGTATAACAAGTATGTTTATCTGTGCTGGTCTTGACTATGTCAAGTGTGCTGTGCTCACCAGATGTGGAAGCTTTCACAAAGCATCTGGATAAATGTAAGTGACAGACTAATGACAAGTTCCTGCCCAAACAGTGTTCATATGAAATTGATGATGCCCCATTTCATCTCCACAACAAATTCTGAGGAGAAAGTCCATCTTCCTTCCCCTGCCTGTGCTTTTGGGACAGAGACTGTTGCAAATAAAACAGACAGGCAAACTCTTGAATGCAGTTTCTGCAGTGAATTGAACTGGAGCACTGTTTTTTAACCACACTACCCATTTTAAAAAGTCCCATGAGTGGCAAATGAATATGTTGTACATATTGGAGAGAAAAAGAATATCTGCCCAAGCTTCTTTGGGATACTAAAGGGAGTGTATTTCAAAAAAGAGGTGTTTAGACAGAAAATTGTGACATCTCCAGTGGTTGCTTCATCTTGCATTTTCACACAGTTATCTTGAAATGCTTGTCAGATGCAAGCATTTCATGTCTTTCATGTGTGTGGCTCAAAAATGTCCCCAGATTAGCAAATCTGACTCTCTGTCAGCAACATAAAGATAGGACTGTGCCTTAAAGCCACTTGTTTAATTTTCACAGATTCTTTTTTTGTGAAAAAAAGATTAATAGAAGATGTAAAACTCAAGTTCTTTTACCTATATCTAAAAAAGATCTCAACATTCTATTCTCAGATGCTATATGAGACTAAAAATAGAAGTCTTTTAAGATGCATGGATTAAGTATACAGTAAGCAACAGAATTTGTTTTATTTTTTTATGAAGGTGCCTAAATTAATCTTGCTCTTATAATAAGAAACTTCATAGGATTTTTTTTTCTCTTGGTTTTGGAAGTTATTTGCTGCTTCACATCATGTTCCACGTTTCAAGTGAAATACTGCTATAAATGAGTGGCTATTATAATCCCCAGACCTCAAAGCCCAGTGCACATGGCTTTGTGAACACATGATGTGAAATGAGTGGAACTTTCCCAATATATTTGTAGGTTGGTGTGTATGGAGTATATGTTTTATGAGGACTATAAAATCTGCTTAAAGGCCAGGTGTTGATCATCTATTTTGCATTGGTAAAAATCCTCTGAGCCTAATGTGTGGTGTTTTGCTAATTCCTCTGAGACTGTGGAGATTCTCAAAACTGCTCAGGTTTCAGCCCATGGGTGCTATGATTAACACTGAGCACTTATGGAAATCAAATGTCGTGCATTCACTTAAGCCAATTTTTCTCTAGTATGACATCTGAAGATTTCAACTGCTGTGAATACCTTTACTCAACCAAAGAAAATCCATGCCAATACTTTAAAAATTCCAAATATATTTTTTTTCTATTTTTCATCTTAGTGATAACTGTGGAACTAATTTATGCTGAGATGATCAAAACATCTTGTTTCAAAAAGAAAACAGTAATTTTCACAAATACAGCACATCTCCCCCGTTGTAATTGTGTCTCATCTTTCCTTGTCTCTTTCCATCATAAGAGAAACTACAGTATTTTTTGTCATTACAACATGTATGAGTTGATTATTGTGTCTGAAAACACTTTTTGCCATCTCAAAATTATTGCATTTCATCAGTATTAGAACAGATATTTACCTCAGTGTGATATTTGCTAACTACAGTCACTGCGCTATCCCTAAATCCTATTACTAAATACTACTCCTAAATTAGCTAAGTTGGATCGAGTATAGTAAAGTAAATCAATAAAATATTTCATTTTTATTCACACCATCCCCACAAACTTCAGCCTACTTAGTGCAGGATAATCCTTGTGCATAGAATATGAAGAGAAATGATGTGGTATGTTTAAGACAGTGAAAAACTTGCTTCCATGTCTGTTTCTGCTGGAGATTTGGGTTTTTTTGTTTGTTTTGTTTTTTTGTTTTTTTGTTTTTTTTTTTTCCTAAGCAGGTCACCTTACCCAGCCTTTTCATAGGAGTTCACTTACTGTGTGGCCTTCATTTTCTAAGTGCTTGATTGGAGGCTCTACAATAGTGTTAAATAAGTGCTGAACACACAGAGCTGCAAATGAAAGCAATCAGTGCTGTGCTTTGAGCATATTAAGTGCTATATAGTGCTATGTACTTTGAAAAAATTGGGTCCCATCTGTATCGAACTGGGTTCTCCAAGTTAGATTTTTTTTTACCTCAATTTCTGTATAGCTTCCCTTTCTGAAATTGCAGAATTGCCTACTCATCTCTTAGGAGATAATGAAGATAAATTAATTAATGTTTGTGCAGCAATAAGAAGTCAAGAATGAAAAGAATAATTTGACTTTCAGAATAAGTTGAAGAGATGTAGCAAGTAGAACATGTGGCTTCATGTTAAACAGTAAGAAACAAAGTCCTGAATAGCTTTTCAGTAAATACGTATCAATAGTTTTGTGCTGTGAATAAGGCAAGAGGTTTTGCATAAGGTAAAGCTTGCTAAAGATATTAAATATTGTGTCAGAAAGGAAGAGCATTTTTTATTAAAGTGGTTTACTTTTGTAATATTATTAATAGCTCTAAAAACAGGGAAGGGTAAGATTTGCATCTACAGTCCCATAGCTATTAAGACTTAAACTAGAAAAAAATAATTTACCATGTAGTACTCTACTAAAAGTCACATGAAACATCAGTGAATTTGCTACACAGACCTCCTTACTAAAGCTAGCAAGGCATCTGAGAGTAGCAGAATTTTTTTGCCTTCTCTGTGGATAAATACTGGTGAAGGGTAGTGCAATAAGCAAGAAGATGATTTATAATAACAAAAAAATCAGGGATTTAATACTGGGCCATGGGGGACACCATATTTTTCTAAATTAAGTTTTTAATCTCACTGCCTAGTAATCATTGTCTTCACTTATTATTTTCTCTGTGCATTTTTTTACTTTTGGTCTCAGCCAGGTCTATTTCCTGCAATCCAGTTTGGTGCTGTAGTTCGGTGTGTAGCTGATTATAGTCCTATTCTCCTGCCTTCTATCTATTTCTCATTTGACCCTAATTTTCACCTCAGTTTCTCCTCCCTTCCCCATTTCTTGGTCTTTGATGTTCTTTTCCTCAGATGACATTCTGCTTACTTTTCTCCAGTTCTTTCTCTGACCCAAAATCTCCCTTCCATACCAGTTTTGCTCCTGCCAACCAACAAGCACAGGGAGAACATGCTGCTCTTGCTCTCCTATAGCTGCCGGCTCCCAGTACAATGATACACAGAAAAAAAAAATAACAATAACAACAATAATAATGATGATAATAATAATAATGATGATGATAATTATAATAATAATATAGAAATATTTGGTTTACCATAGTAAGGACAATGTGTTGCAGTCTGGTTGTGCAGGGAAGCTGCCAGGAGAATTTGTATTTTAGAAGACCTGTTTAGGTTATAGTCCTCTTTGAGGAGGCAACGTGCACTGGTTAGTACAGAGAGGAACTGGGTGAAGATGTTTGTGGAAGCTCAGTGGGATGTGACTGCCTGTGCAGTGACTTTGGTGAGCTCTCAGCACTGTGTGGGGGTGTGGGTGTCTTCAGTGGCTACAGATTCCTAGCAGAATGTCAGCTCTTCAGTGCAGGGAGCTTTTCTGAGTGTGGGTAAGTAGAATTTTTAAAAGCTATATTGCTTGATTGAATTTGGGCAGTTTAATCCAATGTACCACATGCCAGACATCATCCTGTTTGCCATATTTTGGGTTCCAGATTAAATCCCTGGAACATTAAAGATTTCCAAAATGTACATACTCATATAAAAATATATTTGTCCTAATCCTGTTCTTAGAAGTAGATTAATCAGTTTGCCTGAAATTAAAAAATAATAATAAAAAAAGCAGATGCTATCCAACTTGCAGCAGAGATTCAGCTCAAGCACTTAAAATCTTTTGAAGCTATAAGCAAATGAAAAAGCATATGTATGGTGGGAAGTCTGGATTACATTTGCAAATGGGTCCTCCTTCTACTTTTCTAAAGACATTAAAAACAAATGTTAAGTTTAGGTCTTGTTCAGAAGCTTTGTCTGAGGTATTTTCAGTGGTATCAACAGAGCCACCTCACAAGGCATTTCAAGACTTTAGCTAGATTGGCACTGAAGATTTGTGCTCATTAGGCAGTTGTGAGTGAGGAGTCTATAGGCAATGGATGTCCTCTGCTTCCATGAAGGTAGAATTATATTGCTGACAATGAAAATTTAGAGGGTGTGGGACATCTGCTGTGTATGGAATAACATTCAAATTAGACAAACATTTAGGAAAAGTAAGAGTAGTGCAGTAGACTGAACAATGAGAATTGAAAAACTTAACTGAAGGAAAGAAGAAATAAAAGATGGAAGACATTTTCTATTATGTTCCACTGGTTCAATAAAAAGCAAAGTGGATACAAACCAAGCCAAATCATGCCCTTCTGTTGCTGTGATACAGGTAGCTTTACAGCAAGACTGGGTGACCTGAAATACTTGACTTAGCCTTGGGAGAACCCCTTGGTGTAATCAGCATTTTTTGAATTCAGAAAATCTGTGTGTGCCATCTCCTCTATTTTTGTATTTGTGAGTCATACATCATTGTGCTGAGAACCAAGTGATGCTGCTCATCTTTAGAGTATTCCATCAAAGTGCCTCCAACAAACTTGGCAGTGGACTCATATTAATCAATACTATAGTGTAATTCCTGACCTCAAAACGTAGCAAGAAAAGATCATGTTGAGGTATTGAAGCACTGAAGTACTGAAATTGAAAGTATTTTGCTACTGTGGAAAGGGGATAGAAATGTGTGATGTTATGGCTATGCATCCCAAGCCAATTAAAATACTATAATACTGGAGCATTCCACAAAAATTCATAATACTCATGTTATTACACAAAAGGTGGTTGTGTATTCTCCAAACTGGGTCTTGAGAAAGCAAGGAAAGACAGTAACAAAAGGGGCTAAGAGACAGCAAGAAGATGGAATGTACTGCTGTTTTTTACTACTTTTGCTGGTTTTGATGAGCAAACTTTTATCTTTTCCTCCCATCAGAGGAGTTTCACCATGTGTTAGTATACTATATTTTTAATAGTACAGCTCTAGCTGAGCCAGGAAATCCAGTTTTTGCAGAAGACTCTTCTTTTTTTTTTTTGAGTAATTTGCAGTGGATGAAGATTTGCAGTCTCGGTGAAGATTCTTACAAATCACACCAACATTGTGGTCTGGGTTGGAGGAAAGCTAAAATAGCACCTGTGTTGTCTTTCTGAAAGAAAGAAACAAACCCAAAGGACCACTTCATATGCACATATGTTAAAGAAGCCAAATGTAAAGTAATACTTGCAGCAAGAAGGTTTGTAAAAAAAATCCATTAATAGCTGTATATGTTATAAACTACTTATCAGGTAATTGTAGCTAACAAACAAACCAACACCTCCCTCACTTCAATTCCCCAACCAGTAATTTTTTAAAGATTATTTTTAAAAATTTCAGAAAGTGTTTTTGTTCAGGAAAATGTTATTTAGTATAAATAGATCATCTATTTCTGTCTGACACATAGCATCAAGAAAGAGCAATATTTAAACAGGAGGGCTGTAGTTAGCTACCTTACAAGACATAATGCAAGAATTTATTCGGGTCAGAAAAAATATCCTTAAAAGTGGAAATAAAGCCAAAGTGATATTAATAAAACTGAACATAGAGATTGGCTATGAGGACAAAATACGTGGCGGTACCTAGAGAAGCTAAACAGGAATTGTTAAAGTATCTCAGAAATAGAAAGCCTGCAGGAGTCATTAGGTCTGCTAGACCACCAGAGAATAGTCATTCCAAAATGATCAGGAGATGGCAAAGAAAATAAATTCTTTTACTCTAGTATTCTCAAAAGACAAAGAAGAAATATATGCACTAACAGAATTCTTTACAGATAATTTCAGAGACATACTGTTAGCGAGCCAAACAGAGGTGAATAATTCAGAAAGAAAGTCTGCAAGGTAAATAAAATGGATTTTACAGTGTATTTCAGAGAGAAACCCCCAAACTGAGTATCTAATAAAATATATCATTGAAATGACATTTTAAATGAGTTCTTAATTAACATTGTGGTTTCTATGTAAATAAACTCCAAAGGATTTTTCTAGAAACTGTGAATGGGAGACTCAATCTCACCACTCACATGATGTATTGAAAACTCAGCTTATGTAGGAAAGAATGCAAGAAATTAGGGACAGTAGAAGTGTTTGTATATGAAGGGACGTTGAGCACACAGATTGAACAACTAAACAGAAAAAGTAAAGTAAAGTGAATGATACTGTGAAAATCCAGTATTTTGGGGTTTTTTTCCCACTGGCTTGAAATGAACATCCAGGACCCTGGTGAACATTATGAGGAAATCCTCCTTGACTTTCTGAGCTATAGGTCAGGCTTAGGTTCACCCACCTAACTTCCAGTGTTTAGCAGCAGTGTCCAGGTGAAAAATCTGCATTCCAAACACTAAACTTCATTTTAAAATCCTTCTACAATCAGGAAAGAATTAGCAATTCACCTATGTAAAGTTAGAGTTGTGCCCTTAAGTTATCTGTGTCTCCCTCCACAGAGAATAAACTTAGAGCAATGCCTGAAATTAGGCAGGGTATAGCCAGCATGTTGAATAAGAATTAACAATGGGGTTTAATTTTCTTTTCTACATAACCTTGATGGAAATGTATTAGTCTTCAAGTCAGACAATAGTACTGCTCTTCATGCTTTATGCTGATGGGGGAAACAGCATTTTCTATGAACCATAATGGCAGCCAAAAGAAAAGTAATGATCAGTTGGAAAAGTTAGACTATTCTCAATATAGTTTCATGCTTCAATGCCTTTCTAGAGATGGCCAAGTAAGAAAAGTATCCCTTTCTGCATAATAAATGATTAACTGTACATCTCCAATCACATCTGGAAAGCATTTCTGAGTTTCATTCTGAATAGCTGACATTCTCTGTTAATGGTTTTGTCAGCATATGCTTCTTTTGCTTCTTGCAAAATATTTGATAAAATATTAATGTAGAAATAAAACAACAAAAATACAAACCACAAATTTTCCTACGTTCTGATAAATCAGTATGGCTCAGCATAAGCTTACCAACAATTCTTTTCCACATTTACACTATTATCAGAGTAAAACATTCTTCTTTTAGTGATTTGCTCTGAGACTATGGCAGGAAGACTAGAGTGCAGACAATCCCAGGCAACAAGAGAGGGAGGGAGAGCTTGCATAGCAGTCAAACTGGAAAGGACACCCCCCCCCCTCCAAACTTCTGGGGAGAACATTCCTTTTCCAGCAGCTGGAAATAGACTGCAGTTTAAAAAAAAAAAAATTAGAATAAACTAGATTAGGAAATAATGAAGTGCTGGACAGATTAGCTGGTGATAATGAATGTTTTCTGCCTTCAGAAGCTAAGAAGTAAAACCAAGTAGGGTAGATGTGAGCAGCCAGAGAGGTGAGGCTGAGTGTGGCAAGTGGGGAGTGCAGGCTGCTGGGTGGAGTGGGTGGATAAAGTGGGTGTGATTTGTGACACTCCTTTGGGAAGGAGCCACCACCACACTCTGTCCAGCCACTCTGGCAGCTTTGCAGTCAGCCTCCTCTGGCACAGTGATCCATTTCAATGAGAAGCATTAGACTGCCATAAAAATTCAAATGATGCACCACAAAACAAAGTGATACAATTTCATAGTAGATGCCAGTTAGCACTTTTCTGGTCAATATGATGATCATCGCTTAATTATAGGCTTGTTTGTGGGAAGTTCAACCTTCTAAGAGCTCTAGTTCTGAATATAATACAGTGATTAGAAACATTTATTAACGAATTGGTGCTGTTATTCACCCTGAGTCCCTGAAGGAGAAATTAGAAATCCTGTTTGCAGATGAAATATGACCACTAGAGGATGCAGTCAAGATCCTGAATTAGTGAGGTGTCCTATTCCTCAGCCATCCTCTGCAAGGCCAGACAGAATATAGAACAAATACTTTCTGGAATATTTGGGTGAATAAATGACAATGCAGGAGTCAGGAAGAATTTATCAGGAAAGTAGTTAAACTAGGATAGCCCAGAAGTAGTATAACTAGGATGGCCCAGAAGTCAATCTACAAGCCCCACTTTTATTTAACTTCTTTTGCATGGTCTGTAGGTTTTTCTTTGTTTTCCACTTTGTTTTCTCCTCTCTCTCCATTATCTGTTGTCTGTTCATCTCTCCAATCTACACCCTACTGTTATCCTTTACTAGTAGTTACCGTCTCATCTGGATGGTTAATAAGCCATTCACTGTCCTGGTTAAACCTGGGATACACCTGTGCTGAACACTTAGGATACCTTACATTCAGCTACTTACTGAACATATTCAGTAAAAAACACAATTATTTTTTAAAATCTCCCTCTCATTTCATATTTGTTTGCTTACTACTTTAGTCGATTGATTTATTTGTTCCCCATCCATCCG